GTACCCTCCCCGACCCTGCCACCAAATTTACTCTTGGTATCGCCGCTCACGTCGCATCCTCTGGGATATTATCCTAACCTACTTCTTCAACCCAGAGGATGCTCGGGCTCTCCAGCCCCAGGCTGAAAGGGAAGCGGTTGGGTCGTTACTTACTTTTCCCGAGTATTGAGACATTTTCTGCTGGCTGCTAGCCAAGACCAAAAGCAGGAGCCAAACCGAAACCGCAATGGACAGGAACGCTGGACACCCCGCTATATAGCAGCTGGAGCGGGGTGGGAGGAGACGGGGCTGGTGTCGCGAGGGGTTTTTAACAAAGCAGCGGGAAGGGGGGCTTTACACTTTCCTGCTTCGTAGGCAGAACCGCGGGTAACGGGGCCTGCTGAGTCTGGGGTTTTGATTTTGGGCAGATGATCTGACAAAAGATTTGCTTGGCAGGGCTTTGGTCGATTAGCGGTGCACATTTACCACTCCTTTTTGAAGGGTGCCTTTTTTTTTTTTCTTTTTTCCACGTTTTTCCTTCTTATTTCTTCCCCCTTCCCCTATTTTTCCTTTCTTCTTTTCTCTCCTTTTTTCTCATGTTGTCTTTTTTTTCTTAAACAGACAACAAGTAAATAAGGAAACAGCAGCATCTCTTAGCACAGCGCACAGTTTCTCCATTTTGGGTTTTCTTCCCTTTACTATAAGGCTGCTGCTCTTTCCCAGCTTCTTCTCACCTATTGCAGTGTGTCAGCCAAAAGCAAGCGTCCTTGGAAGACTCCTCGCCAATAATACTTTGCACTCCATCCATCAAAGCAATTATTTCCCCTCCAATCTTCAAACCTCTTTAAATGGCATCTCCGAAAGCCAAGGACCTAATCCCCTCCAAAGTGCAAAAGTTGGGCTCGCAAACCCACCAACGTTATTCACGAGTGTTGTTTTTATGAATCTTTTGCTCTTTCAGCACTGAAGCACTAGACACAGATATAAGTCCGGTGTAGAAGGATTTTTAAGCCATACCACTGACCATAAAACAATATTTCCCCTATAGCTGCAGTTATGGCTTCAGTCTGGCATCGCAAATACCAGCGCGAGGAAAAGCTGCTTCATGTGCCCCTCTTTTGTGTTGTAAGAGCATCCAGAGACTTTGACCGTCTTATTCTCAGGACAAACAGCAAGGGAAAGCCCCAGCCCATAAACCCTGTCAGGTTATAGTAATGAGTCAGGCGAGGAAAAGGTGAAGGCAAATGCATGGGGGTGGCCCATGGACCAGATCACCATGCTGAAAGGACTTTTGTCTTTTATGCTATTTAATAGCTGGGGAAGAGACTTCACACCCAGCTCCTGCTCATCAAATCCTCCTCTTCATCACCCATGGGGCCCCCATCGCCTCCTCCCTGCTGCCGCCGCTCCGCTCCCCAGACCGTCAGGCATACAGTTCAAATCCAAACCCTAAAACCTCATTTCTTGGCAGGTCGCTCCCGTCCACACACGTGCCCGCCGCCTCACTTGGCAACCCCGCTCTGGTGCCTTTGTTCACCGCTTCGTTTCAAGATTAAAGACCATTTGGGAAGAAAGGATGTCATTACTAAGGCTTAAACGTACACCGCCCTTTCAATTAAGATGTAAAAGTTAATAAGCGCGTGTGCGCGCACACGTAGGCTGAGCTGGAAGACGTCGCGTTGACGGGGATGCGCTGGAGGAGGAAGGAGGGACGTTGCGTTTGGAGAAGAAACGCATCCTTCAGCTGACGCACGTAAACCTACCCCAGCATCATAGAAACACTGTTTACATTTATGAGTTCTGATGGGAGGCAGGAAATAGTGAAGAAAAGCCTCATTTAATTAAAAAAACAAACAAAAAACCCCCCAAAACCCAAAACAAAACCAAAACCTCCCCAAATCCTCACTGAAATGCTAGCGTTATTTTCTAGGTGCTAAATTAGTCACCAGATGGTGGGAGAAACAGTACCAGTGCATGGAAAGTCCCACTTGGAAGAGCAGCAGCCATGGTGGGGGACATTAGCAGTGTCCCCAAAACCAGCTCTTCCCTGTGGCCAGGCACTTGGTGCCCTGAGAGGGAAGGAGGAGACCTGTCCCTCTTCTGAGTCATGGCTGGGGCACCAGGGTGAGGAGGTGGCACCGGGACCCAACTCTCCCATCCATTGGGGTCGGAATGGCCCACACGCTCTTTGCGTTGGCCATGAGCCATTTGGTGCCTGGAGAGGAAGACCCATGGCATCCATGACAAACTGGCCCTAAAGTACCCAGTAAAGCAAATATTATCACAGGAGGTTTTTATGGAACCACAAAAACGTGGTTTCCTCCAGCTCTGTCTCATGATGGGATTTTCCTCTTTCTCCTAAGGTACAAGCTTTAATTAAATGTGCAGGAACTTGATGTATTTGAGACTTGTGCCTGGCTGTTAGATTTGTGAGAAGTTGTCCAACAGGTTCAAAAGCTATTTTAGGAGCGATAGAAAGAGGGTGCGACAATTTTCTTCTCATTTATTTGAGAAACCACGTTAAAGATGAAAAAACAAAGGACCCATCTCTAGAAAAAAAAACGATGGGAAAAAAAGAATATTGAAGGATGGCAAATGATAATTGCTGGACAAATCCCCTTAGTTCCTTGCAAAGGAGGGAAAGGACGCCAATGGAAGAGGGAAAAGAGCAGCCTAAGGAGCTGGTGGCCTTTCAGGGAGGAGATGCTGGGGCAGCCCTTGCCTCCTACTCATGCCCAGGTGCAGGATCACTTCCAACCACGGTGCCTCGCACTAACCGGACCATGGGCAGCCTTCCTCCACTACGGTGAGAAAACTGAACACCTCGACCACACGAGATAGCTGAGACTGGCTTGAAATCTCAAGTCCACTGTAACCCTGTAGTTAATGTCCACAACAAAACCGGGGTGGGAAGAACTCAATGCCAACGGACACCATCGGTGCCAACGCCGGTCACAGAGATACAGACCCAGCTGTGCTAGAAACCAGAACCAACCATCCAGGACAAAACCACCCTCCCTGGAGGACAGAAACACCCCGCCTGGATCAACGTGGTGGCTCCTGGCCATCACCCCGCTCTCCTCCCTGCGTCCCACCTACACACAGGATCCGGGCACAGCTCTTGTCCTTTCAGAAAGTGATTGACATTGCATGCCACAGGGCTGCACACAAGCCCAGGCTGGGTAATCTTCAAAACACAGCCGTGAGATGCCACCACCTCTTTCCATGGGGTGTTACATAGGACTTATGGGGGTGATTTTTCCGCGCAGCTCAGCAGACACCGGCCACGGCACGTGTCCAGCCCAGCGATACGCCTCGCAGTGATCTGCACTGTTAGGTGGTGCTGGCAGAAGGATGCTGCTGAATGACCTGAGTCAAGGTAGGAAAACACCAAACTTGCTCCTTCTCTGACACACAGATTTCACGAGAGCAGGGCGTGACTCCTGGAGCTGAACCTCTGGGAGGGACCTTGCTAATGCTACCAGGAACATTATTTCTTAGGAAAAGCTGAGCCGGATTAGCATTCTGCTCAGAGGTATCTACCACGGCCAGTACAACCCCACACAAATAATAATTAAGCGAGCGACAGCCAAGGAGTTGCAGCGTGTCCTCTCAAAGGGCCACGTGTCAGCTTCTGGAGGAGCTTTGAGTATTTGCAAAGCAGCGTAAGACCCGGGACAGGAAACATCCGTATCTGAGTGCCTTCAAAACACCATCTTGCTTTTGAAAGCTCACAGATCTCTTCACATACCTCAGTAGGAGATACTTGCAGCTCATGAGATATGGAACAACCATGGGTCTAGCTCCTTCCCACGGAAAAGTTTTTGGCTCGTTGCTGAAAAGGAGGAGCACATCTTGTGGGCCACTTCAGAACACCAACAGACCTCAGAGTGAGAAGCCATCCTTATAACCCAAGGGAGAGTTTCTATATCAAATCCACGTTGCTCGATTAAGACCCAGCCCACCTCACACCAGTTGCCAAAGTGCCAGTATCTGCTGGTGACAAATCCGTTCCCCGTGCCTGGGTGCCCCACATGCTGCCACCCAGAGCTGCTGGGGAGGCTGGTTACACCAGCTGCAGAACATCTCTGCAAACCATTCAAGCAGAGAAAGGATCTTCCAACCCATGCCTTCGCTGGCAGAATACATCACCTGTTACTGGAAATGGGAATCAGCTGCCAGGCGATGGTTTGGGGTTTAACACATTGTCTTCACCACGGACGCACCAAGACACAGAGTCTCTGCAATATCTCCACCAAAGGCGGGTCACCCTGACCCACCACCTAGCCCACGCCACACAACACCTCACGTTGTCCCATGTGGAGTACAGATTCGAAAAAACCTTGTGCCTGAGCAAAATGTCACAGAATGACAGCTCAGGTCTGGCCAGGTTCCCACTAGGAAAAGTAGCTCCTCACCTTGAAGCTGGGAGCAGCTGGCCAGGTTTAGCCAAAAATTTATTAGCAGCATTACAGAGACGGATATTGGAAAAAAAAACTGCAAAAGTTTTCAGTCGTGTTCTGTCTAGGGATCAGCATTAGTGGAGATCATTGCACACCTCAGTAAGCATCTGAGAGGGGACTTGGATTTCATTTCAGAAAACATCAGGATGCCTGGGTTCGTGGGTGAAATCCTTTCAGTTTTCAGCTTATTTCCAAAGAAGAAAGGTTCCAGTAGGGAAACAAGACACTTCAAAGGAAAAGCTGGATGGACACCCATCACCCAGACCTAGCTGAGCCACGTTTCTGCTGTGCCCATAACGAGTCGAAGGCATCTGTGCACAAGTTCTCACTCCTCCTCCCCAGCTGTCAAAGGGGAGTAATTTTGACCTTATTAGATGGGGTTGTGAAGATTAGTCAGTATTAGCAAAATACTCTGCAGATGAGTGGTACTGATTACATAAGGACTAATTAGAACTTGTTGAGTTCTCCGTCTGCAGCACAGCGGCACTAATTATCAGGCTCAGCCCAGCTGCATCGTCACCACCTGCACCGCAGCCAGCAACATCTGCATGGAGCAGCAGCACACATTGGTTAGCAACAAAGGTGTTAAGATTGCACACTTCTTTTAAAGGTGAAAATGCAAAAATACAGACCATGCCATAGGCTACCCTTCTCATTTTGGGCTGCTGCCCATCTCGCACTTCAAAGGAAACTGCTGCAAGCTGGGATGGACCCAGGGGATGTTTCATACTCACCCGTGTCAGGAAGAAAGGTAACTGCAAAAGTTGTCCTTGGTCACTTCCAGCATGCAAGTTTGGACATAGAAACTTCTCTGTTCTAAGAAACTAGAAAATGGAAAGCCTGAAGTCTTCGCCCTTGCCTCCGATGCTGCAAGAGCTTGCTCAGCAAAGTCCAGTTTCACCCCGTGCTCCTCTACCCTGGGTTGAGGAATGACATGAGGCTGCCTGGTGCGGCTACTATGATACAGGTACTGCAGACACAAGGGAGCAGTAAAAACACCTTACCGGCTTTTTTTCTTCTCCAGGGTGCGTTCGCCAACCCTTTACAGAAGCTGTGAAGCAGTGTTAAGCAGAGGACTCCACAGACCCAGAGCAGATGGTCTCCAGGCCCTCTTTACTATGTAGAAACAACAGGAAAAAGCAAGCTCACATGTCCGCTTTCTGCCTGCAGTCCATCCTCCACTTGCTGAGCTGTACCCGCCCCTCCACTTTCCAGGTCCTCAACATCTCCCAGCACAGCACAGCACGGCAGGCTGGGAGACGGGCAGCTGTCTCTTCGGCTCCGGATACCGAAAGGTTTCTCAGTATTCATGCAAGAAAGCAAGGAGTTGGACAGGACACAAGCAAGGCAGGAGTCATTTCCAGAACAGCACATTTTAAATCCACGGAAGTCAATAGGAATTTAACTTATGGCAGTTAAATGCTGCTCATTTCCTCAACAGGAAAAGGATCTTTGCACTTCCACCTTTGCCAATGACCATCCCTTAAGAATAAGGCTGGGCCCCATTAAGTGCACATCAAATTTTTTCTAGCCTGGGCCAGAAAACGTATTTCCTTCACAACTTACCTTTTAATCCGTGCATCATGTATCACAATCCTCCAGAAGCCTCCGAAGGATCAGGGCAGCTGCCAGACAAGGCTGTACAAATTCATCAATTCCAGGCAAGCAGCACTTTGCTAGATACCGATTTCTTGCTTCTGTACATAACACAGGGCTTCCAAGATTGCCCTGTACCCCATTTTAGGGCTCTCACGGTGAAAAACCAAACCCATACCAGCTCTTAAAGTCAGTATAAGGAAGCACGAGGCTGCCCCAGCCTCCGTTAAAACTCCAAAGCCCCAACCCGAGAAGCCATCTGAAAGCCTCCGTTAAAACTCCAAAGCCCCAACCCCAGAAGCCAGCTGAAGTCTCTGCACAGCAAAGGAGTAGTAGTTCACTGATCACACTACACTTGACTACCCATCTCATTAAAATCTGCAGGACTACTGCACATGCCTGGTCTTTAGATCTTATTAGCAGGGAAAAGCTTGGACAAGTGGAATGATTTACATTTCCTATTGGCTGAGCCAGCAATAGGAGAAAGGAAACAACATATGTTGATGAATTCAATTCTTCAGCTATTACAGAAAATGCAAGAGCGGTACATGTTTCTCAGTGCTGAGTACATGAAGTACTTGGAAGTTCCTACAGCAAATCACCCAGAGAACCTGCACTGGCCTTTCAAGCGCTCCTGGAAAGCCTCAGCCCTGGAAGGCAGGGCCTCGATTACCCCAGGACTATCAGGTTGCACGTTTCCCCATCCATCCCCTTTAAAGCCTTAGCAGCTGGTGCACCCCGAGCACCAACGCAGCAGCAGCTATGTCAGGCTTTAGACTGGTCGCCAGTACACGCGCAGCTACTATTTTACAAAAAAAATTGAGTAAATGTGGTCCTTAAGGTTTCTGTTATTCCATCACTTCTACCTCTTGATGCCGACCACATGACATTGTGTCCATGATGAAATAGACGGACTCTGGTCATGCAACAAGTCACCCATTGCCTCATTAGGCAATGAAGGATGCTACCACACAGACGCACACTGTTCCGCTCCTCCACAGCACCATTTTCTGAACCCTCAGCAACTTCACTATAAGCCAAACTACCCTCTTTCCAGTGTTGCATGCTGAATTTCTGTCTTTTATGACAGACCGAAATGCAAAAGCTAATTCTGGTTGCAAAAACACTGCAAGCTTCCCTTCCATTTTACTCCTGTCGGCAACTAAGTTTTCAAATGGACGCGAGAATGCAGGAGAAACACTTCAGTGAATTCACTGCTCCCCAAACCAGCCTAATTTTTCCTGCTGTTTTGGGTTTTGTTCTGAAACAAAAAGTAGGTCAACTGAACATTTTTAAAAAATACATAGCTGAAGTAGTTTGTTTACAGACTTAAGAGAGTACAGCTTGTTAAGCCCCCAGTCCAAAAGCCAAACAAAAACCTGCAGCTGGTTAGGGGAAGCTGCCCAGAGCTGTGCTGCGACCCCAACATTATGAACAGCCAGGTGCCAGGAGACTACTCGCGTCTACCAGGGCTATCCAGATGCAAGAGTGCAGAAATGCATGATAAAAAACCTGCATCAGTTTGTTCAGGATGTGCAACTCATTTTAAATGACAGTTTTCTTAGCAAGTCTACGCTTGTGACCTAGATAAATCCACTCCATCCTGCAAGCGTTCCTAGTTACAAGTCCACGTGAGCAGTCTGTAGCGCAGGTGTAAGCTGGCCCCTCTCTTGGGAGAGCTCTGCATATCCTTTACTCCACAACTCTTAACAGTGACAGAGGAAAAAACACCAGTGCAGGTTGTCTGACAGAAAACCCAAGCCTTCCCTTCCAAAGCAAAGGTGTCGCTTCTGCCTCTTCCCATGAGCCGGCACAAGGCACAGCTAACTACTCAGCCAGCCTCGCGTTTTACTAGCAAAAATGGTTCAGATCGCTCACAATCAACTTCCCAAGCAACAGCCAAACAATCCACTGGCTCCAAGGGCCTCACGCCTCCTCATAAGGTCAGCAGCTGAACATTTTTCACAAAAAACACATTGATATGCAGCAATCAACAAAAGAGTATAAACAGAACATTTAAGGTTTGCAGCTATTTTATTTACAAGTATACATTTAACACAAAGAAACACTGATATCCAAGCCTAGTTAATAGTAGTGTAACAATATGCATCATTTTGATGATTATTCTAACCAACAAACTACACTGAAAAATTAATGCCAGTAAAATTCTTGGTCATAATATTAAGAAATACAATATATAAATTGAAAATATGATTGCTTAAAATTTGAAAATGGAAGTGAAGCCATTTGCACAGGAGTCAGAGTTTAACATAATCTGAAGGGAAAGGCTCCAAACCAACTGTTTATCTTTCAGGTTAACAGAAGAAAAAAAAAATAAAAAAAAGAAGCATAGTTTATCCTTAAAGATAATGGGCAGTTTTGCTTCTTCAGGTAGAATGTATTCCCAGTGTTTTCAGGTTTTGCAGCGGAATTACATTACTGAGCATGAAGACTTCCCTTGTGAAGCTGCCCCATCGATTTTTTCTGCCTCCAAAATTATCCTCTTAAAAACATCAACGGCAGTCTGCAAAGAGAGAGCACAACATTAGCAGGCAAAGAAAAACTGCCCACTTACTGAAAAAAAAACAATTAAAAACACGTTAGCAGTTTTACTGGCAACACCAGCACATAAACGCACATCCAACGCTTATTCCAGAATCAAAGAGGGAAAATGCAGTAATTTCAGTTCTGAACACAACCTTTTGGAAGAAAAGCGTAAACCCCCACTCCACAGCGCTCCTCAGCTATTTTCTCTACCACTGCTAGGAGGGCAAGTTTAAACTGAGCCATAGTCACAATAGAGCTAATAACCATAATTCGGCTTTATTTAAATAGTAAGCTTGCACTGACTGACAGCACTGAAGATTTTGATGCCGTGCTTCTCCAGAGAATAAACCAATTCATTTCCTCTAAGTAATCTTTAAGATTCCAAGTAATTACAGAAGGCAGGAGATTTTACAACTCTAAACACTGACTTTACACAGCCCAGTATAAGGGTTACCTTAATACTGTATATTTAGTCATTTTATCTATAGGTAAGACCAGTATTAAGGTATGATGCAAGAACACGAGGGAAAAACATGAGCCAAACCAGCACTGTCTAATATTAAGTAATATCCTTTGACAAAGTCCTTTCAAGAGAAGGGGGTTATACAGCCTCCATTAAAATATGCAGAAACTACAACATGCAGCATTTGAGATTGCCTAGAATTAATTTAAGAATTTAAAAAAAAAAATCTCCAGGACAATTCCAAAGTGTTCTTCCTCTCTACAGTATTTTCAAGCTGAAGATTCACCAATATGATCAGCACTTTGGCATGTGAATCTTCAACTTGGAAATGGTCTCCTGATCATCTCTGACATGCCATTTGAAGTTTATCTAACCTCTAGCCATCCATGTCATGAATTCCAAGCATACGCTCCTTAAGAGGTAAATATATTCATTATATAAAAGCAGTCACATTATGAAAAAGGATAAAAAAGCAGTTTTGTTGGTTTTAATCAGCAGGCTGAAGAGCACCCTGTGATTTACGACTATGTGTTCTGACCTGACAGATGTTTTTCCACCTCCTTAAGGTATAATTCTTAATTGGATCACTTCCAAATTAATCCCACTGACTGAAGCAGTCCCCCAACAATCTTAACAAGATTAGACTGAATTTTAAAGTTTTCCATATTTGTACTGCTTGTGTGCAGTACCATCTCTGGAACTATTTAAAATACTCCAGCTGGAAACAAGAGTATTCCTCTGTATAAGGAAGTTTCCCTGCAATCCCAACAGAATCTGACCGAAGTGGCTCATTAGTCCAGTAATGATACAACACATTTCCTGGGCAAACTGGACTCCAGGAGAGCCATGGTGAAGACTGCAGTTGCAAACAAACCAGTTCCACTAATGAAGAGTTTCCCTTAGTCAAAACTTGGCGATATACTGATTTACAAATACACTGCACCAACATCTCCTTACTTAAGAGTTGAAGTTTTCAATGGTTTCACATTAATACACAAGCTCTTTACACCCCTGCTTCAAAAGCACCCATTAAAAATCCTCCACAACTTATTCTGACAACCAAGAAGCTCTACATGCTCTGTCAAAGCCATGCTGTATGAAACACTAAGTGTAGGAGTTCACAGGGCTTGTTAATTCATTTCACAGAAAATGTGTGTTCACTGAAAAGGTTTAGTCACTGTCCTGCAGTTAACACTTAGGAATTTGTAAATCAGCCCAAATACGCTGAAGAATTTTAGAATGAGCTTTTAAACAACACAGGAAGCTGTGTTTGGTGACAAGGAACAAGCAACGCAGCCAGATTTATATGCATCTGTCTCCATATGGCCCAGTTACAGAATGTGGGTCACACCTAGCCTACAGAAAGCCATCTGGCTTTCCTCTACCTTTCTCCCCCGAGGAAACAAAATAGAAGCCAGCCTGCACAACACGTGCTGCTTAGCACCGTGGAAGAGACACCAGAGGACCAACTGCTTCTGCAGATGTGTCCCTTGGTGTGAGCAGAACAGATAGTTCCGCACCCCCCAGTCCAAGCACGCTCTCCCAGGTCAACAGGCCAGACCCCTCGAGAGGGGCGAAGATCCCAAACCACTCCGAAGCATTTACTGAGCACTGCATCTTCTGAGCTTGAAGATGAAGCTGCTCTTGAAAATGAAGCAATGCCCAAGTGCTTGGGAGAGACAGCTCTGTTTCGGTAAGCAGATTTTTTGCTACTTCATGCCCTCTCTAGAACAAGTTTATCTAAGGAATTTTGCATAACTGCATGAATGCAATTTGGCTGCTCATTACTCCTAATTTTTTTCAGTAAAAGTTGACTCCCAACTTCAACAGGGTTTAAAACCAAGTTGGATTCTGGTTGCATTTCAAACCGTTACCACTTTATTGTACTGGGATTAAGATGAAGTACTATACGATGGCTTAGGTGAAACAAAGTAGGGAATTCCACAAGAAAGTCTCAAAGCTCCTGAAGTTTGCCAAAGCAGTTCAACATATCTGGTAATAATTAAGCAGCCTGGGAAGATATGCCACTAAGAGCCCAGCAGTACTCTAAAAGACATCTTTTCCATTAAGTCTCAGAATTGCCATCTCGAAGCCCAGGGATTTCCCTAGATGACCGATATGCTGGTGATTCGCAGGCTCCTCTGCAAATCCTAGCAGGTCATCCGAGTCTGAAGGAGCTGATACACAGCCTCAAATATATCTGACCTTGGAACCTCTTTGCCAGCTGCTACCATTTACCCTCACTGCAGCTCTGAGTGCCTCTCTCACCTTCCACCTATTCAAAGTCATGCCATTTCCTAAATGTGGTAACTTTTGATAACTCCTGGCAGAATAGGTCTAATTTGCTGCAGTTAATTGATAGAACTATTTTAGTTGCCCAATGTAGGGGGATATGCTCCTAGGACTCCCATAGATGCTCCAAACAGGAATTTTTTTTGGCCAAAGGAGGAAGGGATTAGAGTCAACGTTCTCCCACCTCCTTTTAGGGGGAAAGGAGCCTTTGTGATCAGAGCCTGTAACAGAGAATATGTTCTCTAGTTTCAGCAGTTCATTGCAAACAGATCTGTTATAAACGATAGACCATGTCAGCCCAATTCAAATTAGCTAATCCCCGTACCAAGAAGACCTACTCCTCTTCACTGCTGTGAAGAAACCCTGTACCTAATCTGTATAAGACCAGCAGGCTAGAAATTGTCATACTTTTGCTCCACGTCCACCAAATACAGATGGCTAGGTTTCAGAAAGGATTAACAGGGTTTCCCCCAGCAGGAACTCTCTGCTCAAGTTCTTAAGCTCTAAATTCCCAATCCTGTCCAGCTCATCCCTTTAAGCATCAAATTAGCTTTCTGTAAAGAATCTGTAGCAGTTTTGGATGGAGTTTAGACTTAATCTTGACAGACAAGTTACATTTGCTGTACCAAGCCAGTACAGGTGATGATCTGGATGAACTTCCAAGAAAAGAGTGTCATCAGACTTTTTTCCAGTAATGTTGACTTACATGAGGTGAATATTCAGAACCAGGAGAACGACAACAAGCCTTGTTACCAAGTTCAAAATAAACCATTTTCCTCCCCCAACCAGTGACAGTTTCAGAGTAACAGAAGACACCCTGTCTTGATAGAGGTCTATGTATCAGCTGTTTTGATCTCACCATCAAATTAGAATGTGGGGGAAATAACCACGAGTTCAGAAGTGCTCCAGGTCTAACTCTTAGGGGACACCACCCCATCTTGCTATATACCTGATGTCTCCTATTACCCCTAGAGCCTCACAGATCTGGACTCCACACTTTGCTCTCAAAGCTCAATATTCACCTCTTCAGAGGTGAGCATTCCTCCACAACCATTTGTGCAAAGACTAAGGCAGCTGCCCCTGTTTTGGGCTTCTCCACACTTCGGTACATCCCAAGGTTCCAAAGGAAGCACACCAGAGAGCCTGAAAGATGGTCACACGCTGTGGGCACCCATCTCAGAAATGACATATGATCTCCCAAACTTCTGAAGCCAGAGAAATGTACCAAGTGTACCATGTAAGAGGCATGAAGGAGGAATTGTGTTCAAGCACCTGTTTCTAATAACCTGCACCTGACTCCAGAGGGACAGAATTTACAGTAACCTGCGATTGCTATCCTGAAGGATCCTACAAAGTTTGCTACATAAATTTCAGCTGGCAGCATAACTTAATACAGACAGTATGAGACCAAGGAACAGACACAAATACATGGCAGTCAATAGGACTTTGTTAGCACGCCAAATTAATATGCAAGACACGCCAAGCATCATATAAAGCTTGCAGCTTCCTCGCATAGATACACCCAACTTTTTTTTCTTGAACCAAGAACAATACAAACTTCAGAAAAGCTATCAATAAGATATTCGCTAGATATGAATTGCTACACTGTTACACGTTGTGAACATACGCCAAAAGAAAAACACTACAGCCAATAGTTTTACCTAATCTAGAAGTATTAAGTAATTTAAAACAATGGAGGAAAAAAAAAAAAATCAGATGCTTTTAACTGGTTTATTCTTTACACTGTCTTTTGTTTCCTTGGCTACACATTTGACACTCTCCAGCACTCCAGAGAACATCCTGAGAAATTTAATGCTTTCGTCATATCCAATTTTGACAAGGTTAATGCAAGTCTTAGCCAGAAACAGAAGTACTGATAAACCAACTCCAAGTATCCCACGCTTGGAGAAAAAAAAAAATCCAAGTTTTTCTCCCAAGGAAAATCCAGCTTTACTCAAGTAACTCGTAGAATGGTTAACAATAGACAATGGACAAAAGCTATTTGTTTTGCTTTTGGGGATGGGGAAGAAGGAAAGAAGACACTTCTTAAACAGGTCCTGTCCTAGCCATAGGATTGCCCTTTTGATCGTGCTGACATTATCAAGGAGAGCAAGGATGTGATATGCTAAGTTAAATATGAGACAATGAACGTTTCTTCTGGATAAGGACTCATTTGTTTAAAACTAGCCTGACAATGTCCTTTTGACCTTATCATATGCCTGTATGTTCAAAAACCAAAAGGTTTGATGGTGCTGAAAAAAAAAATTAAAAAAGCTGGGGGGAAGAGGAAAAAAAAAAAAAAGACAGCTCCTCCTGCAATCAGGAGCAGTTGTCCATTACTTCAAGCCCAAACTAGAAGGCTCTTGTAGCTTAAATACGTAAGGTGTACAATCAATGACAAAGTATTATTAACAGCCACAGCAACAAATTCAAATACCAGAATGTATTCAGGAGGCATTTTAAAGAAAGTTAGTTAGAGCAACCCAGAATAAGATATTATTTACCATGTAATTAAACACTTTCTTTCTGTGATAGGAAACCAAAAAATGTAGATGTGTGCAGATTATATTGGGTCAGATTCTGCAACTTCACTATGGCAGTATCACAGGAGCACCTGACAGCCTCTGCTGTATTCTAACACTTTCCTGTTGAGCTCCCTCCTCCCCTTACATGATTGTTCCCCACCTTAGAGAGACCAAGACTTGCCTAGCACCTCAAAATGCAAGGTTCGTCCTCTTACACCAACTCACTCCTCTATAACCACAATGACCTCCTATTTAAGGTAACTGCAGCAGATCACAAACCCTGTTCCACCCACCACGTGGATCTGAGTTTTAGTTCATCACTAACTGTTCTGCTATGTTCAGTGAAGCTGAACTTTCACCTCTTCACTTCCTCCTTCCATTTACAGTTGCATGGAAAAACATATGCAGAAACCTGAATGCAGACAGCCGTTTTTGTTTCCAACCATCTACACAAAATATCTGTAGAGTACATGCAAATACTTTAGCTTCATTTGTTAAGTGAAACTACGAGTCATTCCATTACATTGCTATTCAAATAAAGTGAATCTTAAATCTGTTACCTGATTTTCTTTAGCAGAAGATTCCAAGAAAGCTGCATTCCAGGATTCTGCTAAAGCTTTCCCTTCTTCATAGCTGATCACCCTGACCAAAGAAAAAAAAATTATGTTTCCTTATAAGTTACAAAAGAATTGGAATTTGATACTTCAAGAAAGTCCTCAGAGTACTGAAGCACATAAATGCATATAATAGGAATGTTTTCTGAAGTCTGATCCAGAGCATTTGCTCTTGTCTGCTGTCAAATACACTACTGGGCCAGGTAAAACACCTACGTGACCCTGAAGAGCAGTTGTCCCAAAGCACTGCTTTGTTTTAATAATCTGTCATATCATCTGGTATTTTACAGTTGTAAAAAATACGTTTCTGTTACTTGTTGTGAAAAAACCACAAAGTGTTAAATGACATTCCTTGGAACCTTATAGCAAAAGTCAACACTACAACCAAAGTTCATGGCTCCTAGTTCACATTCTGGACACAATTCCTTTGCCAGTACCTTATTTTAACCTTCAATCTGATTTTCGTTACAGAAAGCCAAGAACAAAACCAGTGCATTGCAGCCATTTTTTTTGTCTTGCATTTCACACATACTGGAGTTCACATACCGTTCCATATGCAGGTCTTTTTTATTTCCAACCAGCATAATGGGTATTCTGTGAAAGAAAGTTCAGAACTTCAGAACAGTTATAGTATACTGAACAAAGTACTAGTAACATGCCTGCAATGAAATGAGATGAAAGTGTCACTACTTACTGGACTTTTCCCACCATATCCAATAACTTGCCATGGATAACTTTTATCACTTCAAAACTGCAAAATAAAGGGATGAAGTCACACATGCACTCCAATGTTTATCCTTAATACCCAATACACAAGCAATTAAATGCACATGTAGGTTGCTGTGTTTAAAACTTTATGTATAGTGGAAGAACTACAAAGATGCCCAAAGTCTTACCGATTCATGTACAACAGACAAAATGGTCCCAGAAGCAGCTAAGACTAGCCTACGGCTACTGTTTTAGCCCCCCCAGTTATGGTATTTGCAAAAATAAATAACATTACCCAGGACTGATGCATCTAACAAAGAGTCACTAATAAAAGCCCCTCCCACCTCTCATCTGGTTTGTATCTGTAGTAAGAAATTTAAGTGCTAGAGTCCAACAATCCTGGATGAGCATGTCAAATTAAAGCAGTTTCAAATAAAAAGTATTTAGTTAAGGACACTCCATCTTGAAATAATACATTTTTTTTTTTAACAACACTTAGTTCATATATAATTCTTCAGTTTTATTTATGTAAAAGCCAAAAAACGCCTAAATTCTAGTTTCCTATGAAAAGTGAATAAACTGACCTGCAAGATGGTGTTGGAATAACCACTATTTCAGTACTTGTCTGTTCACCTACCATGTACATGAAGGTTGGATGATGGGAGATAAGAATCAGTACTGTGAAACACCAAGAAGCCAAAACCTCCCTAACAAAATCCACTGTATTTGACATTTCGTACTTTTGAGAACAAGCTATAAATGGGGCTGAAGAGCAGATGTTGTGCTCCTCTAACTACACTATGGAAAAAACGCTGGTACATAAAGTGCACAATTTGTCAGTTTTTTTTAAAGAGAAAGGCACAGGGTCACAGATGAGATGCACAACTAGAGAACACAAAGTAACAGTAACTTTTCCAACTTCCAAGGTCATTAGCTACAGCAGTGGCTTGACTTGCACTGCACTTCAATTAGAATTGAAACTTTAAAATGGAGCAGCACTCAAACACATTTTCAACTCGGAGCTCTCAAAGAACTGGTGCCTAAAACCACTATCCAAGCCATTTGAATCATTAACCCTTCTCACTTCCGGAACAATAAACACGACCATATTTAAGAAGGATTTTCTGTCAAGTAGGTCAATCTGTCTGACTGCGGCAATGATTTTTGAGACAGTAGAGCACCATACTTCTCTGTGTTCAGCTAATAATTTTACTATATTCTATCACAACAACGAGTCCTGTACAAAAAAAAGGCACGACTTAGTCTGGCACAACTTACTATTAGTAACTCAAGTACGATACTACAGATTACATAAAAACGTGGAATCAATGAAAGGACTTAGGGTTATAAGAGGTTATGCTGAAAAGGTATTGGTGAAATTATAGTCTTGAAAACTTGTCTTGGACTTTCATATAGTTTCAAAAATAAGAGTGAAATGGAGTTTGGTTGTGACAAAGTTGAGAGGCCCTGCTACACATAGAACTAGGTGACCCTGCAAACCGAAAGAGGAATAAAAACACTACCAAAAAAATCTCCTACAGACCGCAAAACTATTTCTCAGTCTGAAGCAACAGGAAAGATTTAGCGTACTAGCCACAGGATAACCAAATCACTAACGCGGAATGATGACTGTTTCCTTTCCACTGTTAGCTGTGCTGTTTCCAGCACAGCCACAGAAACACCACGCCACAGCACAGCACCCTGGCAAGAGCTCAGCCGAGGTTCCAGTGCATGATGCTGCAAAGTGCTCTCGTTCAACTTGGGCTCTTCATTTCCCAATTCTGTGTACCTATCTGCTTGCCTAGAGAGTTCATGAGCTCCATTTTTAGTAAAAATACTAAACCAAAGAACTGATACTTGTTAACAGATCAAGGTGGAAACCAAAAGAAAAGTGTTACTTAAACCAAATACAATTCTGACACAGAAACAAGTTGTTAAGAACTGCCAGCAAAGAAATTGTCTTGACCAGATCAATTTACTGTTCTAGAAAGCTCTTCAAATTAACAAGGCTAGAAGGAGCAGGGGCACACATTAAGACAGATATTGACCAATCCAAAAAGAGCATCATCACATCAAGTCATGAAACAGAGAGATTGGAGACCCTAAGAGGTCCTTTCCAGTTCCGTCAAGCAAATAGCGTTACAACAAACAGCTCAATGAGTGAAATACAACAAAAAATAATTACTGTCTGTCAGATAAACATGTTACACAAAATAATGGAACCTAGCAAGGTACAAAATTGGAATTTAATTAAGCTGAACTAGAGCAAAAGCCTTCCAGTAACCTTGCTGCTGAGAGCCTGGGAATACAAAAAATGTAGGGCATTAGCTTTTACTCAAGTCCCATTTAAGCCTCCCACTGGAGGTTAGCAGGGAAGACTATAATTTTAAAAGGGCATTTCTATTAAGTTTGCTGTCAAAGCTCTCACCCCTGCTCAGATCAATATACACACTTTGACAGAAGTCAAGACAGGTGGCGACCGTAATGTGATTGCCTGGGCAAGTCATCTAAGCTACCAGAGTATTGTAGATGACTGTCTTGACGCAGAACATATGGAATTGAACAAGACAAAATTGAATTAATACTTGGAAATTTAAAGGAAGAAACAAAAAAACTTGGAATAGATTGATCAAGACTAAAATACTGATGAAAAGAGGATCTACCTGCAGCATTAACATATCTCATTCTGGCAGTATTCTCACCGTAACTTGGTTTCTGTTTTAAATGATTGTATGCTACCACAGAAAACAGATTTTCATTTCTTCATCTGTGCTGCCAAGCTCAAGACATCATGAGGCAACAACTGGAGCAGCTGAAAAAGAACATGGCCTTTAGCTGCCAAGGACAGAACAGCAGCCTCCAAGCAGCCCATGTTGATTCTAGTTAAAGACATTTTTGTCCTCACAGTACCACCTATCACTGAGCATTTTTCTACTCACCTGAGGAGTGAAGGAGTGTCTACTTAAGGATGAAAACACTAACTCCTATTTAATACAAGTTACTCAGCACCCACACTGAACCTCTGATCTTTAACAACAAAAGAAGTTAGGTAGGTTAGTATCTCTAGACGCACGTGAAAGCCTGGCATCTGTTGCATTTCCTCCAGACCACTACTTCAGAACTAAAAATGTAAACCAGGAACGAAGGACTGAAAATCTGTTTAACATTAAAGACCTTGCAAGCAACTGAAGTTTGTAACCAGACCTTATCCTTTCTTTGAGAAGTACAGAAGAGGCAACAAGCAAGTTGTCTGACTTGTATTTTATGATGGTCTACTAAAGAGCATGAAATAACCAGTTTTGTCTGATTCAGAGGAGAAGACACTTCAGCACTCAAAAAGCTGATCAGCTTCCTTGCAAGCAGAAGGCAAGCATCAACTTCTCTTCTACTTGATGGGAGCGAGAGGTCTAAGGTCTCAATCATTTTGCTCAAACAAAAATTCAAGAAAATTATTTTGGCTGTCTTAACAAAGATGCTGTACAATATTAGAAAATTAAAAACTATTCAAGAATGACCAGTATTTAAACAAAGCAAGATGACCAGAGGAAGGGACAAAATAACAGAAGATGACAAAGCCTTATGAAGGCTGAGAGGCATCTTTCAAGTAAATGACTCGAGCTACAACGGACTCTGTCCTCACGTCAGAATGGACAGCTAACAGCAAGGATAAAATAGATATTCTGGGAAATTTTTCAAATAAGGTTACTTGCTGCAGCACGTCAAGAGTGAGTTTACAGGCCAAAAGCAATATATTGCTATTTATATGAAAATTTCTGATGGTTAACCAGAACAATCCAAGACGAGAAGTCAAGGAAATCTCAATACTGTAGTGAGCTATAAGGCTGAGGGATGGATCTAGCAACTAATTGGGTTCTTCACATAAATATAACTTTTACACCATAAATGTGCCCTTTAGGTTCATATTTAATTCTGGTTTTGTATCTGATGCTAGACCAATGGCCTCTACTTATTCCTGAAATCATTCTATATACTTTTACTTACACTTTAAAACAATGTAGTTCTGCACTGTCTCATTTCTTACATGGTACCTTGCACATTAGTCTGCAAAGTGCCTGTGACATTTGGATGTGAGGGGAAGTTTTTATTTCCATTTTACTTCTAAGGGATAGAGAGATTAAATGAATTAACCACATGCAAAGAAAATATAGCAGAGACAGGAGATGAACCCTGAATATATCCAGTTAATATCTGAAGCAGAAGAACACAACAGATTTTATTACCTTTTTATTGACGTGACTGAATAAACAAGAATGTAGCCATTGATGTCTATGGAGTACGTCTGAGGAAATATGGAGTATTCATCCTGCAAAAGGAATATTGCATTTAAAATTACTTACAGTTCAGAACTTGATGCTAGCAGATCACCAGCAGATAAACTGGCCTATTTGAAAGACAGGAGGTACAGGGCCATTTTTATAGAACTTTCAGAATTAAGTTTTTTCATCATAATGCCAGATGTGGAATCTTTACCAAATTAAGAGAAAGCTGAGTCAGTCTGTATACTCTAAAATTCAATTTATAGCTTTTTTGGCTTATTCCCTCTAAGGCTATGGATCAGCTAAAGCTATCCCCAATCCTCTTACCTTGCTTAATTATCAGTTTATAATAGTACTAAACATCCACTCTGCCCTACCACTAATTAGCAATTACATCTCTTATCTTGCTAGTGATACATTTCAAATTCCTAATTTCAACAGCTGACAACAGGATCTAGCAGCTCACAATTTCCAGTGGCACTGATTGGATCTAAAGTACTCAAGGGTTCTGTTAGAAAGCGAATAACAGTGGCTCACCAACTAACTAACGCTGATCAACTGCACATGCAAGATATGTAGTTATTAGTTGCTTTACAACAATTAGAATTTTACATCAAGCAAGTGTTTAATTAAAGAAAAGCAAAAAACAAACAACAATTCAGAAACTTAATCACTGAATTTATTACCCTGTAGAAAAGGAACTGACCAAGGAGGTAAATGAAAAACACCGATATACTGCAGGAAATGCAAAACAAATACTATGAATCCCATGTTAAAAATGTAAATTGTTCTAACAGATGTTCCCAGGAAACATTTCCATTTTGACAAGAGCCATACTACTTAATGTTCTCAAATTTTTAAACCTATGCTTCTTAAGATGTTAATTTTAGCTTAAGATCACATAACCTCTCTGTATATTGTCAGGACTGAACAGATGGAGCAGTGCAATCACGCAGTTTAAACCTAGACAGCCAAAAGGAATCAAACTGAACTGGCAAATGAGGAAAAACCCGTTATAAATCAACTGCACAGATTCAGCCAAAAATGTCTGAAAGAATAACACTTGACAAAAGATGTCCTTATTTGCCTTTATTGCTACACACTGAGGGCAGCCCTCCCCCATCTTCACTGAAATGCCAAACTTCCACTTCAGCTGGCCGTGTAATCCCAAAGTCAATACAGAAGGGATCTGAGCTTGTCTGCGTGTAAAACAGGTGAAAGTGCAACTCTGCAGTCTCTTGACTTTACCCGTAATTTCTCAGGATTGCCTCGGCTGGAATTCACCGTTAGGTAAGATTTCCGTTTGTGTTCCTCTTCTGTCACCCTGTACCAAGACTCCCGTTTAACCGACTACACAACTCTGAATAACCATGAAGGATAAAGAGGCACGAGACAGAAGAGGAGCACCAAGAAAAATAAGTGACGTAGCCTCAACTGTTTCTAATTCATTACTTCATTTTTATCTTGTTAGGGGAAGGAAAAAAAGCTGCTATGCTTCCTGGAACCTGTGGGTCCAATTAAGAACTTTGCCAAGTGATAAAAGAACATAGCTATAACTTGTCAAGTCATAGCCAAGTTTTCAACTATATAACAAATCTACAATATAATCCTTGCCATCCTGTATATACAGGAGGGGTCTCTGTGGATTATTAAGCAAGACAGACTTGAAAAAGAAATTTTTTCAAGCCACACCCTCCATAACCCAACTTTCTCTCTCTCCCCTAACCCTGTGAGCCAGAACTAAAAGTTCAAGTCATTCACAGGAAGAATCAAATCTGAAAATAACCACAGGCTGGGAAATAGGTTATTTTGGTTTTACAATACCGTACAACGTTAAATTAACCCTGAAAATAAACGTCTGCAATAGAGGCAAAGTTATACTGCCTTCCGAGAAGGCCATTTCTTCCTCAAAGAGAAACTTTTATTATCATGCTACAATTTGAGATGCATGGCAAGCATACTTATATTGCCACACGGTGAAACCTATGGAACTTGCTGTGCTGCTCACACTTCACAGCCTGCCTGTCTCAACCCTGCTGTCCTCTGTAGAATATTCCCCATCAAACAATCTTGCCCCAACACGTGTGGCCAGTATTGTGTTTTTACTCACTTCAGACACCCCGATAGATTCTAAGTGGATATAGTGTCGCCGATTAACACCACAAACTGATGCCATATAAATACAGCATTAAGTCACGTAGCTCCCTGCAAAGAAAGCAATCAAACACACCTAGAAGGTTACAACCCTTCTGAATAGTCTCTCAGCTATGAGCAAGTGTCCTGCAGCTTTAAAGTCTGAAGTACTGGCAGAATATTTTACAACATTAAGGTTGTTTAACACTACTCATAGCTTGGGAACACCTAAAGGCATAATATCAGAACTCAGGAAGGTAAGAACAGGTACGCAATAAAAAGCTTAGGATAAATATACAGGGGTTTAACAGTCCCTGTTCTGTTTTTTTTCCTAATGCAGAGTCTTTCAAAAGACACACGGAATGTGCAGTGGAAGGTCAGCCAAGCAGCACTATATAATGAACACCTGTACTTCATGAAGCTACTGACCATACCACAGGACATGTGTTCACTGCCTCCTCCTGCATTCCTCGTTGTTACATGAAGGCCCAAAATTACTCATGAATCATCACTTAAAAATATACACAAACTGCAGTAATTTACTGGTAGCCTGTTAAGTACTACCTTATACATTTCTGCCTACTCCCCATGACTATTTCATAGATACAAGTCACAGTGGCATAGATGGAGCATGCACACAAGAAAAAGTCATGTAAAACTTCTCCATGGCTTACTGAAGTGACATTTTCCATCTAAAGCAAGACTGCCAGCTTAGTCCATACATAGCAAGCAAGCTACTTTTGAACTTCTGTTAGATCAGAGTTAAAGCAGTTCCTTCTGCACTTTCTTAGGCATATGTTCAATAGACAGGAGGAAAAAAAATACCAAAACAAAAACCAAAACAAACCCTTTAAATAAACACTACAGAAACATGGTTCTTTGGTGACTAACCAACAAGGCACAGACATTTAAATTAACCTTCATGTTTGAATGCATGGTTGCTACCAACTTAGCTCTAGAGCAGCATGAATACCTGTTGTCTTAACTCTGAAGGAAGATTCAAAGAAAGAAAGGTAACTTACTTGGCCAGCAGTATCAACCAGCTGAAGATGATATTCTTGGCCATTTACTGTGATCAGTTTTGTAAAAGCTAGAACAAATAAGAAATACATAAACATGTGAGAAATATACACAAGCAAGGAATCGGAAGTCACTCATTGATGCCATGGTCAGACAAAGCACTACAAAAAAGAACTACAGTTACAGCTTTAAAGTAGCAGTCAAAGGCTAGATCAGGCAGCTGTACTCTTAACTAGTATAGTGCAGATAATGAAACTCAAATTTACTTTAAAGCTTCAAATTTCAGAAGATTCTCCTATCAGATTCAGCAGTTTCTTCTTTACTTACTTAAAAGGAAAGAGCAAAAAGGGGTTTTAAATGCATTTCTAAGAGATTTCCAGGCAGCTATAATTTGTGGTAACACAAGACACTTAAATACAATTAGCATCAAAGCTAACTTTGAACTTCTTATCGAATATTTTGCTCAGTTTCCAAGCAGTTTAGAAAATCAATTTCTTGAATGTAAATATCATAAGGCAATGATCTGGATTAAAAAAAAAATTAGTTGGGGGCTAAACTATGCACTGCCTAACTTACGAATATACAAAACATACATAATGAGAATTTATCTAGAAGCTCACCATGTTGCTACCACCCTATCTAGTCCTCAGATCAGAAAGTACATTCAGTCCCTGAAAGCAGTGAGAGTTGTTTCTCTTCCCCAGATTCATGAAATGCCAATGTGCTGTGAGCAGAGGAATCTTACTCAGTGTTTGTATTATGCAACTGCAAAAAGCAAACAGTGTCACAGCTCTTGTAGGAATGATGTACTACTGAGCACTGCGTGTACCAACCAGAGCACACAAATCTGGCTTCAGAGCTTCCCTTTGGCCTCAGTGTTCCACCCAAGGCACAATTACTGGGCAATATTGATAATATTGAGTAAAGTCTGTGTTGTCCTCTGGTTGAGGTGGTTTTCCTCAACACTAGCAGTCGTAAGCAGCTTTGTATTTCATGGCTGTGATGAGCAGTAAAGTAACTAACACCCCAGTGACCTGTTCATCATGCCCTAAATTGGGCAACAGTTTCCCAAATCTGCAAAGCTGAATGTTCTTGATCCTGCTGCGCAGTCTCCTGCCTACGCCTTCTGGGTTTTGTACAGGGTCTCCTAGAAGCTGAAGTTCGCCAACCCTCCTCCTTCCTGCCAATGCTTGCCGCCCTGTCAACTCTCCACAATGTGAGTATTCTCAAGTAAGTGGGCTGAAATATCCGAAACTGGAGGTTTCAGCCCATCTAGTAAATCAAAGCACCCTTTTCAAAAAAAGGAGCAATTCAAAGTGCAAAGTCAAACTAACACAGTGTGTCTAAACAAACTGTGTGAAGTGTACCTACAGTCACCATTACAACACTCACCAGTGCCATGTGAAATGGAGCCTCAAAGAGGGAGCTCCTACCTTATCCTATCCCCTAAGAAAGCCGCTTTAGCACACATGCTTGCATCTGAGCTGCCCTCAAGTCACTGTCTGGATGCTGTTATCATTGCTGCACAAGGTTTTAGGGTTATGAAGCAAGAACCCACAAGAGCTTTTTGCCCTGGATGAATACTGCAGTGGGGACAGAAGCAACCATTTGTTTGAACAGATGTTAACACACAGCATTGCTGTATACAGCATCACTGCTTCAAGACAGAGAGAAAACAGACTCATCTGGAGAGGTGCTGCATTAACAGGTGTATTAAAAGTAACAGTCTCTAGTCTCTTGACACTTCACATACACATCAAAGCACTCTGCAATCGAAGTAGCTTCAAGAGCCTCATGAAGTTAATATTTAAAAAGAAACAGATGGCAGCTTTCTCAGACTATTCTAGAAGCCTAGAATAGACCCAGCAAAGTTATCATCAGCATCGGTACTGGAAGCAGAGTGTGACAGAGCCAGGGGAAGGGAAACAGTGGAGGAGTCACCACAGACGGGGTGAGCAGAACGGTTAGTTCAGCGCAGAGGCTTATAGCACTAGGAACAGCCCACTCCATGAACACAAATCTGCTCTGATGCAGTCATAATTAATGGCTCCCATCTCACTGCTGAAGCTTTTTAAAAAAAATATTCCTGGTAGGAATTCCATCTTGAGAAAAACCTGGAGCTGTATTAAATTATGATCCACAAGTCCCCTTGGTCATAGAATCACAGAATGGTTTGGGTTGGAAGGGACCTTAAAGTTCCAACCCTCTGCCATGGGCAGGGACACCTCCCACTAGCCCAGGTTGCTCAAAGCCTCATCCAGCCTGCCCTTGAACACCTCCAGGGATGGGGCATCCACAGCTTCTCTGGGCAGCCTGTTCCAGTGTCTCACCACCCACACAGTGAAAAATTTCTTCCTCATATCTAATCTAAACCTGCCCTCTTTCAGCTCACAACCATTATCCCTCATCCTATTACTCCACCCCTAAGAGCCTCCCATTCTCTCCTGTAGCCCCCTTTCAGCACTGAAAGGCTGCTATAAGGTCTCCCCAGAGCCTTCCTTTCTCCAGGCTGAACAACCCCAATTCTTTCAGCCTGTCCTCGTACTGGAGGTGCTCCAGCCCTCTGATCATCTTCGTGGCCTCCTCTGGACTGGCTTAACAGGTCCACGTCCTTCCTGTGCTGAGGACTCCAGACCTGCAGCACTGCAGGTGGGGTCTCACGAGAGCAGAGGGGGAGAATCACCTCCCTCAACCTGCTGGTCACACTTCTTTTGATGCAGCCCAGGACACGGTTGGCTTTCTGGGCTGCAAGCACACACTGCCGGCTCATGTTGAGCTTCTCATCAACCAACACCCCCAGATCCTTCTCCTCAGAGCTGCTCTCAATTCATTCTCCTCCCAGCCTGTATCTGTCATTGGGATTGCCCCAACCCATGTGCAGGACCTGGCACTTGGCCTTGCTGACCTTCGTGAGGTTGGCATGGGCCCACCTCTCCAGCCTGTCCAGATCCCTCCGGATGGCATCGCTTCCCTCCAGGGTGTCGACTGCACCACACAGCTTAGCGTTGTCAGCAAACTTGCTGAGGGTGCACTCCATCCCACCATCCATGTCTCTGACAAAGATGTTAAATAACACCAGTTGATCCAGAGGAAGTCTTCACTTCCAATTCCATCACCTACCATCCTGAGACACATTGCTTTCTGCTGTCCTGTGCAAACAACCGATAACACAATCACGGCTCAGTATGGCTCTTCCTGGTATGCCAAGGACAGATTTCAGCAGACCTGAGCAATCTCTGCAGTCCTGGTCATAATGTTAGCATCTGCAAAACGCTGCTCATCAGCTGAAGCATGGGTAAAACCTGTTTTAGCTCCACAAAGCACACAGATCTCAGAACAGGACATGCTTACAGCTTGCAACACACAACTCAAGTGTAGCTATACGAAGGAAGCTGTAAACCCTACCTTAACCTACAGTTGTTCCTAGTTCTGATGCCCTGCTGAAACTGCAGCACAGCACCAAACAGATCTACGTATGCAGCTAAGGCTGCAGCAGTCAACAGCTGCGCTGCAAAGAGCTAAAGCCATTTTACTGTCAGAGAAAGTCCTGGTAAAATTACATGCAGAGCACAGCCCTGAATGCTGCTAGAGTTCAGCAGAAGTGTAACTTACGCAGCAACTCCATCAGCTGCTGATAATCGTTACCTTAAGATCAAGGATATTTCAATTAGACTAACATGAATGAAATTATTTGCATATGCAACCGAAATGACAGCTGCTGTGAAAACAACCCATTATGGTAAGGCATATGAATGCAAACTGTTAGATCAATTACGCCACTGAGTAAAGGTACGAGAGTAGTGTAACATCATTCCCACAGAGCTGCTGGCTGGTAGCTAAATACAACCACCTCGTTCAGGGTTCCCTCATTACTACCTTCTGCAGCCCTTTCTACTTGTCTTCATTCCAAAGTCAATGCCTATCACTAATCTGCAGGACACCTTTTCCAACACTGAGGTGTGTAATGTAACACAGCTATTTTTAATTTTCCTCAGAAGCCTCATTTCCACCCCTTGAGAAGGCTGCTCATCAGCAACTCCTGGGAAGACACATACTTCACCCTCCCAGTGCAGGTGCCATGACATGCAGGTAGCTAAATACAACCACCTCGTTCAGGGTTCCCTCATTACTACCTTCTGCAGCCCTTTCTACTTGTCTTCATTCCAAAGTCAATGCCTATCACTAATCTGCAGGACACCTTTTCCAACACTGAGGTGTGTAATGTAACACAGCTATTTACTTCACCCTCCCAGTGCAGGTGCCGTGACATGCATGGAAGAAGTTTAGCCTTGAAAACGCTTCTAGCAGACCCATCTAAACCCATAGGTATCTCTTCCACAACTACTAGGGTGCCTCCAGCCCCGCTCCCCCCCCTCCTTTCTAATATGCTTCTACTCACAAATCTACTTAAAAACATGGGACGGAGGTAGGAAGCCCTTGGGGGAGACTGTTCCTTCCCTCAGGGAGCTACTGAGCCTGTTTAGGGGAGAAAGGAAGACCACGGAGGTGCAGCACAGTGCTAGAAGGCTCTCTGAAACTGCAGGGAAAAGCAGAAAGCTGCCAGGCAGGCCTCACAGGAGCTGGAGAAAACATTTTTAAGACTCATGCAGGCAACTCAGCTTTCCTGCAACACAAAAATCACTGAATTAATCATAACCAAAGACATCCCTGCAAAGATGGGTGGGAGGAGTTATGTACACATCTTCATTATCTATTCCTTCTGACCTATTTGAGTTCCAAATTAAGATTCTAGTTTTTATTCCAGTTTAGAGTTTTAAATTGTTCTTGTCTTAGCTCATCTGAGCTAATCTGCCTTCAGGGCCCCATCAGCATCCACACAAACTCCCTGAATACGCTCCTGCTCTGCAAAGATCTTTCTTTTTCCAACACTCCTGCAAGTAATCATTCTGCTAGTTTCTCAACCTGGCTGTCTCAAGAACAGCCACCCATCATGGTGTCCCTCCTCTTGGCACATTCAGAAAGAGAAATTCTATTTTGCTAAGCTATTAATTGTCACCTCTGCTAATGCCACAAAACACTACAAGTTACTCTTCCTGACACACAAGTTTAGTAAAAGCAACTGAATTCAACACGCTCATTAACTTAAATAAACTAACTTTTGTGGTTCCAACGCAATATAAGCAAAGGAAATACAGCAGTGAAGTAGTGTTGCCTTGTACAAACACTAAGTGAAATCTGATGCAGCTTATTCTCCCTTTACCACTTCCAAAGAAGGCAGAGATTTTTACACTGAAAAATGAAACTACTAGAACATAAGGTCTTATTCCTACTGTTCAAGGCTTAGATGCTATGGAACTTGTTCCTTTAAGAGCTTAACTATAGCTTGCCTTCTATACAATTTAGACTCCATTTTTTTTGTGCAAGTTTTATTATTTGAAGACAAAAATCATCAAGATTAAGCTACTAGCAGTACTGCAGCTTTCCACCCTTTCATCAGCACTGCCAGAATACTGTAATAAACGGTTAGTAACAATTTTCTGGAGACAAAACAGAAATCACATAGGTCAGACTATTCTTTAGCCTGTATTTTTTAATTTCCAAGTTTTGTGACACTACAGTAGACCCAATCACTAGATTAAACTGAAAACGTTTTATACCCTGCTATAAAGCATTGGAAAAATGCAAAATTCGAAGACACTGCCCCTACTCTAAGAATCTGGACTTCTCAAACCCTTTAGTCAGCACTGTCAAACAGATTTGAAATTACAAGCTAGGAAAACAATGAAAGAGTTCACTACATACTTTGCATCTTATGACCCTGCACAGAAGAAGAAACACACAGCTGCAAGTGTCAAAAGACTGGATTGATCTAAGATTTATATTCAGGAAAAAGCTTTTTTAAAAAAAGATTAGGAACTTAAGTCAAAAGAATTATTTTATACTAGTCCAAACAAAACGAGTTTCGCATGTCTTTCTCAAAAAAAAGATACCGTCTATATATTTTACTTTTTAGTGGTAAATTTGAAAGTGTTCTCTCTTCTGTTCTTCACAGAGCATTCTCAAAACTCTCTATCAGGCCTTACTGGGCTTAAGGATGGGACAGATTTCCTACTCATGCCTCAAGGCATATCTTTTACGTTTTCAATCCCTACCTCCCAGCAACACGTTCTTACGTAAGAAGGGCCCTTCAATTCTCTACCTTTCAGAAAGTAAATTCCTCCAGCCATGCTGCAGATCAGAAGACTTTCACCAAATGAATAATGCTGTTTGTTTTCCAAACAAATAGGAAATGAAGTGAAAAGTTAAGCCTTTTCAAGATGCCCCCACCCAACAAAGTTTTCATGGCCATGACATGCTCCATGTTTCAAGTTCAGATCAAGAAAGCAGTGCAGACTACAAGAGTCACATAAGCACAGAATTCATCCAGAGTGCATTTTCATATAGCTAACAAATGCTACCAGTGCAAGATACACAACTACAGAGTTACTAACAACAGTTACAGACAATTAGCTTCTGTGGACAACAAGAGCTTGTAAAGGATGAAACAAGCCAACACTGCACCACGGTGTCAAAATCCTAAAACAAGATACAGGCTCAATATTTTGGAGAGACTTTGACCCCCACATCTCTCAAGCTTTATTCATTCCCATATACCTGCATAAAACTAAAAGATTACTTTAAATATTTTGCATTTATATAGCACAGACAGTGAAAAATAACCTGTCCCAACTGATACTAAGATTTAAAATAGCAGCTTTAATTCAAAACAAACCTGATTTATAATTCCAATAAAGTAAAAAGGGGTGAAGGAAAGTGTTAATATTAATGACATCTGTGTAAGGACTAACAGATCATTCTGGTCAAGGGGCAAATTATCCACCCTGACTCACTACAGCAAATTTAGAGCTTCTCCAAAGAGTAGCATCTGAACTTTAGTTCTACAAAATAAAATAATCCTGAGTAAAATATCCTGATAGCTACTGATTTGTAATTATTACCACATATATCCAAAAGAAACCTTGTTCTGCTGATTACTTCATTCAAACTTCCAGAGTATCACAGAGGCTTAACATCCTACTACACAAGTTCGAGACAGTAAAAATGTGTGCTACCGCTGCATTTCAGAAGTCATTAAAATACAAAAACCCCAGGGTGACAATCAGGAAATCAAAGTTTTATTTGCCACAGGATTAAAGGGAGCCAATACGATCAAGTTACTCAGCCCAGCACCACAGCTGCTCAAGTACTTTATGACCACTGCTAGCTCAAAGAGAAGTGGTGAGATTGTAATGAATACCGGGTAACTCGCCTCTTAAGTGACTTGTTGCTCTTGGCAGCGTTTTTAGTATTAGTATCTTGACTTACCCGCTATGCTAGCTATTCACAAAGGCACTAATATTAAAAAAACGGCTAAGAGAAAAAAAAGGCACTTGAGGAGGCAGCTACCCAGTACTTGCAGCAAGATGACTGTGTACTAGGTTTGTTATCAAGCAGTTGGAAACAAGTAATTTAAAAGACTATCATGTTATCATGGCCACAGCATGCCTGCCTTCTAAGGTAGTAATTTGCTCCTGACTGGTATTGTTGGCTCTGTGTTCATCTGGATATACTGATCAAATGAGACATTTAAGATTTTGTAATACTTGCACCTGGTGGCACATTTTCATACAGGTACGACATACTTAACCTCAAGTGCCTCGACTATATCAGGGGAAGCATATGTCCAACTACATATAATACAGGAAGGAGATGCACTGTAGCTGGATTGACTAGGTTTTCTTTCATTTAGCGTTAAAGGACAACTTATCTGTTTGGAGAAATATGCACACAGTGATTTCCATGCTGCAATACTGTAAGCTCAGTAAATATTGGTTTAAAAGAGTAATAAAACTTAACAGTTAATTAATAAGCTTCAATATGTAAATATCCACATAAGTAATATGTATAACCACAGTGGCTGCTGATACAAGTTAGTTAGGTACACAGGAGCAGCTTGTCAGTTATTTACTTACTATTCTCTATGGTTGGATCATATGAATCAACAAACTGTCCTTCCACAAACTGAATCGTCAGTGAAGATTTTCCTGTAAAACAAGGAAAAGATCATTTGTATTGAAACAAATCTTCAGGCTATTATCGCTTTACGCTTACTAGTAGATACACTAATGTTTTTTTAAGAGCCAATGTGAGCTTTGTATGGTTCATTTAAACATCTATATATGACAACTGACCTATTTCTAAAATAAGGGCTATTCATAGTAACTGGGTCTCCTGAACATACAAAAGAATAGCGCAAGAGCTACTCAGCACGTGTTCTGCTTTTGTTTCAACATAGCATAACTTAAGTGCCTCCTCCAGTTTAAAACAAGTCTAGAAGTAGCAGTGTCGAATCCTCGTAAAACTAAATTTAACAACCTGTTATACTTGGAAGGTTTTTCTTTCGAGAAACAAGGAAAACTAGAAATAATTTTCAGTCATTGCACAGAAAACCAGTAACTTGGACAGAATTAGCCAAATTTGGTGTGACTAGGAGATGGGACATCTTTCCCATGAAAGAAGGATGATCTCAAAGTTCTTGAAATCAATACACTGTCCTCTTCTATTAAACCTCTTAATGCCACACTACAACAGACTGGTGGATGCTGTATTTTAAGCATATTGATTCAGGGGACATCATAGGGTTTTTCCTTTTGAAAGCAATTTAACTACTACTTTCACAGACAACATTCCCAATTTCAGTTATGCTGATCTGATCACACACCCCCCAGTAAAGAGTAATGCAAAATGTTGCACTTAGTTTTCATTTTTTCAGTCTGCTACTAATTAGTCTTGAAAGATTCTACAAGATGGTAAAAGCGAATGGCCCACATGGACCATTAAAAGCACCTTTAAAGCTCTGCAACTCAAGGCTTTTCAAAGCATTACTGAAGTCTCAACACAATTTCCATTACAGCACATTTCCTATATTTGTTAATCTATTAGATCCTATTACATTATGTTTACTGGACAAATGCACTCTTATAAAGATTGCCAAGTGCATCAGCTGCTTTTGGACATGAGCATATTCTTCATGCTCCTCTATACTCTTCTCATGGGCAAGAAGCACAAAGTATGACCTCAAGACAGAATGTAGACTCAAGACCATCCTACTCAGTGGAAGCCTTTCAATGACACCCTAAGAAACCAATGTTGCGGATGAACTAGTTCATAGTAAAACTGTTCTTAAGAATTAGTTACTCTGGATAAAGACTGGCCACTTGCAGTGCTTAGACCATGCTATGTTTATACTTTGCTGCAGAAAAAGTTCATTCCTAAGCACTTCTTTAGGAGATATTAAAAAACAGTTCTCCACTTTCAACCCCTCCATCCTTGCTTCTTCATACAAGGCTCCTTACCTGTTCATATTTGACTATTATTATCAGCACACTTGGCAAGTAATTTTGTTAAAGACAGTCTAAAAAATGGCAGGTCAGAGAAAGAACAAGGATGAAAGTTATTCAAGGGAAGTTCGGCTTAATATTGATAATTACACGTGCAGGCCATTCTTTCATTAACTGCAACACTTCCAGGATTTACTTCTCCACAAGGAAGGAAAAACATGTTACACGAGCATCATAGTTTAGGGATTTTCCAATGGCCATAACCTTCACCATTTCACTGCTCGGTTTATTTTATCCTCACTGCCCAGCTCTGCCATGCTTATCCCTTTGCTGTCTCCTAGCAATCATGACAGCTTATTCAAGATACAATGCTAAAAACTCCAGACAAACCCCAAAAAGACTAACCAGCACACAAGCTTTTAAGAGTTGCTTTTCCTCAAATCTTTAGATACTTTAAACTGTTGCTCCAGCAAGAAGAGAGGGAGGAAAAAGCAACCATGAACATCTGAAATCATCCTAATAAGGACAGACTTAGAACTGAGCCTATGCATCCCAGCAACCTTCTGAAACTGTGTATTTTGGACACCACTCACAGAGCGAATGAACTTTCAAGTTATTTCTCCTTCAGCTGTAAGCTTATGAAGTTGCTACCCAGAGTTCATGCTTCCAGATTCTTTGCCAGTATCAGCATATTAAGCACTCCATTTTAAAACAGTGTTAACTATCCCTCTACTAGGCTGTTACATCTTCAAGATAAGAGGAGCTGTTAGGCACGGATCATCACTGAGCATCCTTCCTCCTAAGAAGGATCCTAAACTAACCGAAATACTTGACTGCTGCTGTCTGTCTGTGCCAAGTCTGGAAACTGAATAGTAGAAACGAGTCAAAGCCAACAGAAAATGCTGCATTTAACACCCAGCTGTATTAATTACTGCTTTCCTCCTAAGAGTGAAAGAAGAGAAAACAAAACCAGACAAAACCAGTATTCCAACACTCTCCTAAATTCCTCCAAGCTTTTTAGCAAGCCTTCCAGTAATGATGTGCTTGTGATCACAGGAGGATGCCTGCTTTCCCAGATGAGCCACAGGGAAGCTCTCCAGTCTCGGACTCAGCCACATAGCCCCTCGAGATCTGTGCATGCAACAGTATCCTGCTAAACCAAGGCTTCCAAAGGGGACACAAGAAATTTAAAACCTAAGTCATTAACACCCCACTGCCTTGTCTCAGCCCATGCCCAAGAAGCACGCAGGATGATGTAAACAGCCGCCCACCCTGAACTTTGTCCCACAGGTTTTATTCCAGGCCTTTGACCTATGCTCATGGACAGATGAAAATTAAGTTGACAATTTAGCTCCTATCTCTTCTTTCCCCAGAAAGATCAGGCAACGTTTTCAGAGAGAATTACAACACAAACACAACGTCCGTGAGGCACGGTCCAAGGAACTGCACGCAACTGCATTTACTGATGTGCTAACTCCATCTCGGAGCATGGGAGATGCTGCAGTCTAGATGTGCAGAGGCTGCTGGCACACTTCAGCCTAAAAGGACACAAGAGCCTGACATCAGCAACAAAGACCTGATTGATTGATTGATTACTCAAGGATGCATACCTCAAAAAAGGCTCAGCTCTAAAATGCCCTCATTTGGAACAAATGACAAATGTTTTTTAGTTTACTAAGCTTTTCCTTGTAGCATCCTCCATGCTGGTACTTTTAGTGTATCCACTGTCAACAAATTTTTGGAAAATAAACATCTGTTGAGACCAAAAGGAGAAGTGTCATGAGCAGAAGCAAGGCAAAGTCTACTGGAAGCAGTTAACTGAATTGATAGAGACCTGTGATTTTAAGATGAAAAAGCATTTTCAAAATCTCACTGGAGAAGTTTATCATTTAACCTTTTGACTCTGTTCAGAATCAGCTTAAAACGACCAGGAACAAAGAAATGAATCAAATAAGGGCAACAATGGGGCAGGGCAACAGGATGAGTCCTCCAGCTGTACTTGCTATGATAACTCCAAGCCAGAGGTACTCTATGGCAGAAGAGTTGTAAGAAAAGTCCCCCAAGTTTCCTGACTCTCCCTCTCCCTGGAGGAACAGGACAGAAGGCAAGGGCTGGGAGCACAAGTGTTTAAAATACAAGTCCTCAGGTGGCTGAAAACTCAACTCACATTGTCCAGAAGCACCCAAAGGGTATTTGCATACACAATTTATTATTTATGATATTATGCAGGAGTGGTAAAAAGAGTCTTCCACTGTCAAAACAGAAAAGGAACAGGTTTTCAGACAGAAAGCCATTTCAAAAAATAAAGCTGTCATATTTCTGTTCATGCAATAGACCACTCACTACATAAAGCAGAACGTCCCATAAACACACTGACTAGTGCAGTCACAGCACATCAGTTTCAAATGCCATTACAATTGTCAAGGCAAAACAATTGCCAAATTAAGTTTTTACTCATCCTTTTATTTCTTGGACAAGAGCTGTGGTATTTAATCTAGCCTCAAAATTCAAGCTTTACAACACTAGGCAGTTTACCAAGAAGATGAGTAACGGAGCACAGGTGGGCTCCCGAACAGCTGGCCTCCCTGCAGAGCCCATATCCTCTCTTCGGTGCCCCACCACCTGCCTGCTGTCCCCTCCCCACATCCTTATTCTCCTTGCAATAGGCAGAGAGAAAGCCCAGATGAAATTCTTATTGGCAGCCAACTTCCCCCCCAAAACCAGGAGATAGAAATGATGCAGCTGGCCAGTGAGCAAGTCAAACAGCAGCTCCACAAGCAAGGCACTGTGCAAGCTCAGTTCTGCAGCCACCCTCTAACGTGGCACCTCACCGATGACGGCCACTGTCAGCACAGCGCAGTTTGTCTCAACAGGAAGAATTTCTCAACGCTCAGAACCGTCTGCACAAGCAATCAGTAAAGTCTGATGAGGTCAAGAAGAGCTGCAATTCTCTGTTCTGTTAGAATTTTAGATGCATAGTTTCTTTAACCCATCTTTTTTTCCATTAGAACTTCTGCTTATGTACTTTGCTTAATTATCAAACACTTAACAACTGACACCATCCAATCCACTCCTACCACAAGCCTAGCATCTTACCCAAGGTAGTCTCTGCATAGATCTACTCAGTCTTACCTACAAAACAAAACAGTTCAGGTTTTGTCACAAAAGGGTTCAAGAAATTCATTATGAAATGCTGTCATATTAAATTAGTAAGACTTACGGCATACCCAACTTTCAATATCTCATGCAGTTATACTCAACTTACTGTGCTTCGCAGGGACAAAGCTGTCACAGTGAAAGTTACACTTGATTTGAATTGAGCTTTGGGATCTTTACCTTCAATTCAGAATACCAAGATGCACAAAACGGAGACACCATTATTTCCACAGTACAGATTATCCATTTGTCCTCAGAGCACAGAAAGGGACAGAATGACTTCTTGGAGCAGATGGAGGTTTAACTGGGTAGCAAAGGGAATTACGGCATCACTCTTCGACAGAAGTCTTTTCACAAGATAATAAGGTGATCTCAGAACCCATCACTAGCTCACCATTGATCTCAGGCTTCACCATTAGCAATTTTCTATGGCTACGATTTCCCACCCCCCCAGGTACTCATTACGACTACGCAGTTGCTATTTTGCTGAACATTGCTATGTAGTTCAGTGAACCATTATGATGACTACAAAAATGATACAATCTGGG